TAGATTTTTTTCGATTACTATAACTTACTAAGTTAATTGAATTTAATATATAAATGAAAATTTTAAATTATAACTACTATATAATTCTCGCGACAAATATCGAATCGAAAGGGCGTTTATACAAATTATATATTAATTATATTTTTTTTCAATAAATATTTTCTGTTTTAACATGATCTTTATATATTAGCATAGTCTACTATTCAAAATTGTTCTTTTTTACAAGTTTATTTCAAAATTAATACATTTTTGAAATTAATTTTGGCTATAGTCTTAACCTTTATTCAATGAATTTTGTCTTCCTAATATTAAAAATAGAACAAACACTTACCAATGGTTTAAGAGCATATACCTTATACTATACAATATACACAATTCAGTATAAAATATTTTAAGAAGATATCAGAAAAAATATTAGAAACCATCATTTGCAAATTAAATAAATTCTACGTTACCTTAAGAGTAATATCCGGCAAAGCTCGAAAACCATCTTTGTCAACAATGACAACTCGGAAATTGGTTAAGTTTGTGAAAAAGTACGGATGCATTTGGTAGAGGCATGATCTTAGTAAAATGTAAGCTGCATCTGGCAAAGATTTTTCATAGTAATATTCGCGAATCACAGCTTGTCCTATAGAACCAGCAAGGCCGCCTGTGCACAAGTATGGCACCCTTACGGTTCCGACCAGATGTTCGATAAAGTACAGCAGAAACCCTGAAAATTGAGATTTTTTTATATGATTTATCTAATGCTGATATGTGTGCTAATTTGCTGCAGCTATGCCTGGAAAGAGCCATTGGTGAATTTCCAGTATAAACTGACACCACTACTGCTTGAAATCAGGCTGTAAGCATCCAATATTGAACCCCATAGTTATAAAACTAAAGCTCCTGTTACTGAACTACGACAAGCCTTTATAACAAGTTACCTTTATCTTTATCAAATCCTCCCAGAAGAACATCCACATGGCAGTCCTGATTCTTTTCCTCTGCCGTTGTGAGAACTTCTCGAACAACTTGGGTAATTTGTCCAATGCTCATGTCATAGCCGTGTTTAATTTTGTATAAATTTATCTCTCTTTTGATCAATCCACTCACAAATGCTTTGTCTGCTGCTCTTCCAAGGGCGGTCATAGTAACAAACTTGTTTAATTTAACAATATTTTGACGTGCGTTTTGTGTCAATACCTAAAAGTTGGATTTTTAATTATTTTTTTTTGTTTACTTCAGGCAAATAAATGAATTTAAAATGTGTAAATCTGTTTAAACATTAAATTTTTGATGGAGTTAATTTTTTTTTTTTCAACATCTTACCAACATTGAAGGAGCACATGTCATATCCGTCGCCATTATGACGAACTCTTGATACTGTATTCCAAGCACACAACCCATTTGGAATATTTATTTTATTTGTTTGATATAAGATCTGATTTGATTTGAAAGGTTTTTGTTTAGCAAATTTTTATTTTGACAGAAAGTGGAAAAGTATTATAAATCGATGTTTATAATTTTTTTCATGATTTCATTGGAGATATGGGCATGAATCAGCTACAAAAAATAATTATTTCCAAGAAAAATTGTATTAATAAGCTATATTTTTCTTCATTTTAAGCTTATTAGACGTTTGTAGACAAATAATAATTCATAAAAGAAGCAAATTGCATCATGAAATAGTACAAACCACAATATAATGTTGCAATCTTAAAGGCTTTTTATACTAGTTTTAAATACATCTGTTTTATGAATCAAGTAACTCCTTATTACCACATTTTTTAATATAACACTTTT